GGCAGGACAGTGAACTCTTCATCTTGGAGCAGGAAGGACCGAATGACCCTAGGAGGGGCGGACACGGCTAGAGAGAGAGTGTACATTTCCTGGACACTGAGAACAAACTCTGTCCCACCTGGAACAGCTCCAAGCCATAAAGGACTAAGCTTCTTGCCCACACAGAAGCACAGAGCTGGAAGGGACCCCCACGGCCATCCAGTCCAACCCCCTGCACAGCACAGAAATTCACAACTATCTCCCCCCCTCCCCCAGTGACCCCTTGCTGTATGCCCAGAGAAAGGCAAAACCCCTCCAGGATCCCTGGGCCAATCTGGCCTGGAGGAAAATTCCTTCCTGACCCCAAAGTGGTTATTGGCAGTACCCTGGCCATATAAGAAAGGGCTACAAGAGCCAGGCACTGACTTCCGTCCACATGCAAGCTGCTGGCGTGAGCTTGGGTCAGTCACAAGTTCTCTCAGAGCTGTTCTCTCAAGGGCAGTCCTCCGGAGAGCTCTCTCAGCCCCACCTACCTCACAGGGGGTGTCTGTTGTGGGGAGGGGAAGGGAAAGGAGATTGTCAGCTGCTCTGAGACTCCCTTGGGTAGTGAAGGGCCATGGGGTATAAATCCAATCTCCTCTTCTTCTTCTTCATCCCTTCCCACCTCCCCCTCATGATCTGCCATCCAGCCTCCACATAAAAACCTCCAAAGGACATGTGAGCCTGTTCCACCAAATTCTTCCTAATGTTTAGTCAAAAACTCTTTCAGTTTAAATACCCTAGTTCTAGTCTGACCTTCTGGGGCTACCAAAGCTCTTCTTCACCATGTTCACTGCTTTCCTCTGGACATGTTGCAGCTTGTCAACATCCTTCTTAAACTGCGGTGTCCAAAACTGACCACAGTACTCCACTTGAGGTCTGATCAGAGGAGAGTGAAGTGATACCATCACTTTGCATGATCTGGACAAAATACTTCTGTTGATGCAGCCCAAAATCACATTTGCCCTTTTAGCTACCGCAGCACACTGCTGACTCATGTTCAGTGTTTGGTCTACGAAGACTGCCTAGATCCTTTTCACAAGTACTACAGCCAAAACAGGTCTCCCCTATTTTACAATGATGCCTTTGAATTTTTCCTACCTAAATGCAGAACTTTACATTTATTTCTGTTGAAATTCATTGTGCTAGTTTTATCCCAGTTTTCCAGTCTGTCAAGATCATCCTGAATCTTGATTCTGTCTTCTACTGTATTTGTTACCCCTCCCAATTTCGTATCATCTGCAAATCTAATGAGTATCCCTTTTACTCCTTCATCCGCGTCATTTACAAAGATGCGGAACAACACAAGGCCTGGGACAGATCCCTGAGGAACTCCACTTGTCGCTCCTCACAAAGAAGATGGGGAACTGTGAAGAAGTACTCTTTGGGTGTGACAACCAGTTACAAATCCACCTAACAGTTATGGGCTCCAAAGCACATTTTACCGATTTGTCAACAAGCATACCATGAGGAACCTTATCAAAAGCCTTACTGAAGTCAAGATAAACCTGGCCAGGGAGAAGCCCCGGCCATGAGAAATCAGATCACGCTGAACTTCAGTTCTTGTTGTTTCAAGAAACACCAGCGTGTCCCATCTGAACATTGTTTAGGCCAAGGACTGAGTGTAAGGAAGGGACTGCATGTTTCCAGCTGCCCTTTGTTCCCTTGCTCGGCGTGGGTGCTTGGACAGAACACGTGTAGTCTTTTTGATCAACTATTGAACGCTCTTCTGTTCTGAATGCACCACGCCCGCTTGCTCTCTGAAGTGTGGTGATGGGGAAGGACCGCGAGGCAGCCCGCCATCCCTGGAGCACAATCGCTCAAAGTGTTATTTTATTTTTATTTTATTATTTCGATTTCTACCCCGCCCTTCCCATGATAGACTTTCTCATGCCAGGAAATACAGGGACAGAGTAGCGGATGAAATACTCTTGGCGTTGCCAGTGGCAGCAGATCTCGGTGGAACAAACCCAAAGGAACAGGGGTGGGGGTGGTTTGTGAGCAGTGTTCCCTCTAAGCTGAGTTGGTGTGAGCTAGTTCAGTTTTTTAGCCTCCGGCTCACAGATTTTTTGCCTCAGCTCAGGAAGGAGGGCTCCAGAGCAAACTGATTTATTCAGTAGCCAAATCGCTCCCTCACAACTTTAATGCCAGGAGCTCACAAAGTAGAATCTTTGCTCAGAAGACTCCACAGCTTAGAGGGAACATTGGTTGTGAGTCCTTCCTTCACGCTTAACATGGGTTTAAAAGGTTGTTGGGTGCATTTGTGGAGGAGGAAGACAAGTCTCTTGGCAGTTCCTAGCCATGGAAGTGTCGCTGAGTCTTCGTGCCCCGAGGCCGCTGCCAGCACCGGGCTCAGAGGGCAATCAGCAGCTACCGGGTGCCTTTGTCTCCCCTGTGGGTTTTCAGAGGCCACAGACAGCCCTTTGGTCTGATCCTGCAAGCGCTGAGTTCTCAGGGTGGCAGCACCGCACAGCCACATCTGGTCCGATGGGAGCAGCCCCTCCCTCCCTCCCTCCCTCCCCAACACAGGTTCTGAATCCTGCCTCAGCATGACTAAAAGGGAATGCACAGATTTCTCGTATTTTCCAGCCTGTATATCATAAAAAGCATTTACAAATAGAATTCTCTTACAATAGCGATAAATAGATTTGTTTTTTATACATTTGCCACCGGGAACACCAACACTGGAGTTTAAAAAGAGAAACGGTGTCTGAACATTAATTTAAAAATTCATGGATTTTGTGCATCTTTTAAAAAAAGAAGAAAGAAACCCCAAAGGGAAGCAATGATGGATATACAACACAGACATAAAAATAGTTCCAGACACATCCACAGAATTGCTCTATTCACACCGACGGTAGGCAGTTTTCAAATTAAATGTGGACACGTTGGGAATCTGCGCATTCCCACCTCTGCCCCAGAGGGAAAGA